ATTTATTTTATTTGAACAATATTAATTGTAAAATTGAAGACACTGAAGTTGAAATTCTAATTTACAGTTAGTGTATAAAATAGAAAAGTAATTTTGAGATCAAATTGAATTCAAATTAATAGACTAACAAGTTAATATTTAAGGTTGACAATAAATTAATTTTATTTTAAAAATATTAATTGTAAAATTGAAGAGACTGAAGTTGAAATTCTAATTTACAGTTAGTGTATAAAATAGAAAAGTAATTTTTAGATCAAATTGAATTCAAATTAATAAACCAACAATCTAATATTTAAAGCTCACAATAAATTTATTTTATTTCAAAAATTATAATTGTAAAATTGAAGAAATTGAAGTTAAAATTTTGATTTACAGTTAATGTATAAAATAGGAAAATAATTTTTAGATCAAATTCAATTCGAGTTAAAGAACAAATAACTTAATATTTGAAGGCTTACAGTAAATTAATTTTATTTCAACAATATTAATTGCAAAATTGAAGAAACAATCAAACTAAAATTATTGTTTTACATTGAGTTACATCAGTTGAAAAATTTTTTCAATTACTGTAAAAAAAAAAAAAAAGGAAAATAATTTTTTTCTTATATTTCATTATTTTTCAATATTTTATTTTATTTTATTTTTTTTTTTTTCACTGTATTACCCATTTTATCTTTTTCTTATTATAATAAAAATTAATTCGTAACACAGTATGAATATTGTGTTAGTCAAATATGTTTATTCAGTTATATCCTTTTTTCCACTTAATCGATTAGCTTTGACAACCGAGAACATTTCCTATGTAAAAATCGATGAAGATTAAAATTTAATGATTTGTAGGGTGATATATTGATGGTGGTGTTTCTTTGTTTTCCAACAGACTCGAGACATGTCCGTGTCACGTTGCAACGGTTTCAAAGTATTTCCACCGTCAACATTTTATCCAATTCATTACAAAAAATGGAAGAAATATTTTCAACAGGATAAAAACAATTCGACTATGAAATTATTGGAAAATGCTAGAGCAATACACGTTTGGAACAAATTAAGCAAATCAACGAAGATTCCAATTAACGATGACGTACCTTACGCCATTATTGCACGTAAATATTGTCCCAAAGTTTCATCAAATTGCGGTGATCATTTTTAAACAACAAAAATGAACCAAAAATTAAACAATCGAAAAAATAATCAATTTTTTTAATGATCTGGTTATGATGCATTATTAATATTATTCGTTTTATAAGCATTTTTAAACATTTTACTTTGTTTTTTTGTTTTGTTTTCTCTTTTTTTATTTTATATACTTTTATTAACTTTCTTCCATTTTTTTTTTTTTTATATTCGTTTTACACTCGTCCCAAAAGTTTCTTCTTTTGTTTTGTTTTTTTTTGAAATAATTTTACTAGCACAATATTTTTATTGTTGAATATTTCCAGTAAATACAGTAAATACAGTAAAGATAAATACAGTAAATATGGTAAAGAAAATACAATAAATACAGTAAAGAAAATACAGTAAATACAGTAAAGAAAATATAGTAAATGCAATGAAGAAAATACAGTAAATACAGTAAATACATTAAATACTGTATTTTGGTAAAGTAAAAGGTAATATCGAGTAAAATCGATATTATTTAATAAAATAATAGAGAAAAAATATGACGTATAAAATATTGTGCAACTTATTATCAAGAAAAAGGAGAGAAATTTTTTGGGACACCTTGTATAATTTTTTATTTATTTATTTCCTTTTTTTTTTTTTTT